CCCCAAAACCCCAAAACCCCAAAACCCCAAAACCCCAATTTTTGGTTAGCTTATTGAAAATCGCTTTCGTTAAATTGGATGTCGTCTCTGTAGAGCTTTGGTAAATCTGTAGGTAGGTCTTCATATCTTTCAAAGAAAGCATCAATTTCTTCTTGAGTTACTTCTTCAATGCATGAATGAGCCCATTTTGGATTTTGATCTTTGTCAACAAGCAGAGCTCTGACTCCTTCAAAAAACTCTCCGTGTTGTGCAAATCTCCGAGCTAAGCTGTATTCCATTTTAAATACATCTTCTAGATTCATATGCTGGCCTCTTAGGATTTGCTCTGTGACTACACCTCAACTAATTGGAGAGAATTTTCGAATAGCTTCAAGCCAATAGGAGGCAAAGTCTGAGTCTAGTCCCTCTACCTCTCCTTGCACTACCTCTGTGAGTCTCTGTACAATGGTATGGATAGGCTTTGGAGCAAAACAATAGTTAATAGTTTCCTCTGGAATGGTTAATTCGCTGACATCATTGTCTGAATATCTATCAACTATTTCCTTAATTTGTTCCAAACTAGTATCTTGAGTAGTGTGTTTGACCACATCCTCATACAAAGAAGGAAGGTTAGAAGTCTCAACGTAGTTTGTGGCAACTCCCCACTTGAGAAGATCTTTAGCTTTGAGCCTATGGCCAGTGATGCCAAGGAAAAGACCAAGACTAATGTTATTATTAAGCCTTGACAGGAAATAACTCCCTCCAACATCGGTAAAGAACCCTATAGCTGTCTCAGGCATAGCATAGATGGTCTTTTCAGTGGCTATCCTGATTGGAGAAAGTGAGGAGATTCCAACGCCTCCTCCCATAACAATACCATTCCAGACAGAGATCTGTATAGGCTTCATTTGTGTAAGAGCATAGTCCAAAATATATTCTTTGTAGAAGAACTCTGTAAGAATTGGTGCATGCTGCCCTACTAAAGAGCCTTCATAGATACTAACTACATCTCCTCCACAAGCAAACGCTTGACCTCCCGCTCCTTTGACGAAAATGACCTTCGGGGTTGGCTGCTCTTGGTTTTCCCACTTCCTGAGTTGTTGCCATAGCATATCGTACATGTCAAGATCAATAGCGTTATGTTTCCTTGGATTATTCATCACAAACTCAAATACCTCATCACTAAGGTACTCAGTGATGACCTTAGGCTGGGCTACAGAGGTGCTCATTGCTCTTGCCGTTGCAGACGCTTTAGCGAGGCTTCTTAGCTTCAAGATTTTGCTGTGAACAGAAGTCTTTGATAACATTTCAATAATAAATAACAAAATAGGGGTTTTGGGGTTTTGGGGTTTTGGGGTTTTGGGG